CCGGTCACCCTTACCCTCGTTGCTGGCCAACCCTCTCGCTTCGACTCCCGCCCTCCTCCACTCGCTACGCCACTCCACTCTCCGCTCCACTCCATTCCACTCCACTCTCGGCCTAGCACAGCGTGGACGCGACTCATCCCAGCGTGACCCAACCCGCGGTACACTCTCTGGTGAACCACCCCCGACACCCCGAACACCGCGAAATGCGCGGCGTTAGCCTCGTACACGGGCCACCACACGTCGACGGGAAAATTTTTCACGGCTACTTCCGTCTCTCCAGAGGAGGACCAACGCTGCTAGATCGACCGGGATCCCGCGATCCGACGATCAACCTGACCACCCCTCTCTGTCTCGCCACCCCGTTGCCCTCGCTCTCTCTCTCTCTCTCTCCCGGAGCGCGCGGTACTCGCCAACCAGCGGGACACGATTTTCGTCCTAGCCTGTCTAACGTTGTTTGTTCCACGTCCTCTACGTTGTTTGTCCGTGTTTTTTCTACTCTTTTTCTTCATCCTTTTTAACTCGTGGCCCCGCGGAGATTGCTTCTCTTCCCGGTTTTTGTCCGCGGATCGGTTATGAATTGGGAATGGAAGGTTATCGACAATGACTGCCTGTCGTTTCGCTGTCCACGGGTTCCTTTCGCGGCTGATATTTGTTTTTCAGAGTACAGATGTTACTTTCGAACTCGTCTCGTACGACGGGGGTGGGAGCTGAAAAATCGATTCTAAAACTGTCCACTATATCTCTTCAAGTGTACAGATTCTACTTTGAGCAAATGGTTAAATTATAAATTAATTAAGTTTAAGCTAATTTTTTCTGTTATTCGTATCTTTCGTAAAGACAGGTCAACGCGATGTAATTCGAAAAAGACCGGTCTTTCGTAAATCGCTAATTTAGGTTGTAGGTTGCGTCGTCATCCCTTAAATACCCGAATAGTGTATCTCGCGATGTAGACGCAACCATAATGGGTTAAAGTCCATCGGCGTGGTCGGCTGCGTGATGGGTGCGAGCATTAACTAAAAACCGAACCGAGTGGTTCGCTCGGCGAACCCACGATGGAAACGGTGCACGAGAGGGGGTTGAAAAGGGGATGAAACGGGGATGCCAGAGGACCGTGACAGGTACCGCGTTGGACCTCGCTTTAACGTGCAAACCGAGGCCAGTGTGTACGCGTACACGAGACCGAGAGCACGCTGTTCGACGCTGGAAAATGCCGATCCATGTTCATCATCCCCTCACAGCCTTCAATGAGAGTCTGCCATAATTTCGAAGTCAGAACCCTTAATTACATTTGTCTCGTTCCTTGAGCTCCGCTCGAAAAATCTTTCGTTCATGAACCGTGAACTTTAACTGATTTAAATTTTACTATTTTCAATCAGCTTTTCATTAACTTTGCGCCCTTAAACGGTGTTTGACGGACGTCATAGCCTACGCGTTTTCACCCATACTTTGCAACTTTCTAAAGGCTAACATTTTAATAAGTTTATTAAAGTTATTTTATTAACTTTTATCCTGTGACATTTTTGAAAATTTTTGAAAATTTGTCGAAAGACTGACATTTTTTCTCCGCAAGCAACCTTCTATCATTTATCAGACACGTCCGGGAAAATATTTTTTCATATTTCCGTTTAAAACAACGGTAATATTTTTGTACAATAATATCATAATTATTGAAGTTGTTAATTAGTTGAGCGGAGTTTACGAGTCCCGCGTGAACTCGCCGTTATATCAAATTTTTCTGATCGAACCGTTATCGGTCGAGTGGTTGTACTCGACGATTGGCAATAATTTTTGAAACGTTACAACGGTATATTTAGACGCAAGTATCCTGTTCTCGTCTTCGTTCGGAAAAACAAATTATAACGCAAAGAACTGACGTCAAACATCGGTCTCAAGAGGTATCGTATAATGCACGAGCGGTAAATAAAAATGATGCTGCTCGGTCGATTAATCAACACCGGTTCTCGAACAACGTCATAAATAAAGGATACGAGCCGCGGATCATTCGCGAACGGATAATTGGTTTTTTTTTGTTTTTTCCGTTCGGCCCGATCGAAATTAAAGTTTCATCTTGCTAAAGCGGCAGAGCCGGTTGCGACAGAATTAGAGATGAATAGCGAGCGACAGGGCAACTCGTTTACCAACGATAACACATTGCGGCGACGAGTTGGTTCGTTGGCGCCTGTATCACGGTTTACGTTTTGGTGGTCTTCACGGGCTCGATATCACACGGTTGTTTGTCTTCTCCTATCTTTCCGACTCGCAGGCTAAAAATTCTCGCTCGACGATAGCCTGATCTCTTTTCCTCTATTTTGTCGCTAATCAATTCTTTCGCTTGTCTCCGTTTCTCAAATTCTCGTTGCTTATCAAGAAGTTTAACCATTCTCGCATGAACGTGTTCTTAACTACCAAACCGGTCAAATGACTGCTCCACAAGTTTCTTATTATAATACACACATTTTGTTAATGTGCATTATTTAAAATCAGCATTGATCTTAATCAAGATAAAGAATTAATTTATGTTTCGTTGTTTGCTTATTTATTTCTTAACTTCATCTTTAATTTGAAATCAAGTACACATTATATGCTGGTACGTTTAGTGTTAATAAAAACTCTCAACACGAAGTGGAGCATTTGCAGCGAAACACTTGGATAGAATCGTACGTACAAGTTGAGAATGTTCTTGTATAAAGAGCCGGCTCCAAGAGCGTTTCACTAATTTGGCCAATTTTACTTTTATTTTTGCAGGGTAGAAGCTGCAGAGGAGCGTGTAACGAGAACAACGTTTAAAGAAAATGGCGGTAATTGACGGAACGAAGAAGCCTCTTGCCGGTTCTCACGGGCGAACGACAGTTGTATCGGAAGGCAACAAACTGCAGGCCAGGTATGTCGTTGCTCGGCCAACCGGTTAACCGGCAATTAGCCGATCTCGCTCGTAAATGTAAATTAGCGCTGCCGGCCGGTCGAATCGGTGACCGAAAAAAGAGTAAATTATCGCTGGGCGAAGGCAGGTGAGCGGATGCCCCTAAAATGCTCGGAGGAAACAGCGTTTTGCTCCGTGACCTGCCACGTAAACGATCGCCCTAATGTCCGTGTCTAACCTTTCTAAAATAGCATTCGATTCACGTAACACTGAAATTTCTCAACAGTTTCTTTATACGAACTGCATTGGGATGCATTTTAAACTGCATCCGATAGTTTCCATGCTGAACATTATAAATTTCTTGTTAAAAAAAAATCGGGGTGTCAAAGTGAAGGTCAATTAATAGGATCAATTTTGGAACGAACAAGTTAGCACAGATTAACGATGTACCGATAGAAGGCAATTTACCGTCCTCTGAACGAAACGTCGACGGAGGCTAGATTCCGTCGACGATTCTATCT